CCCCAAAACCCCAAAACCCCAAAACCCCAAAACCCCACTATAGTTTATTATAATTGAAGCTAATAAAGAATAAAATGCTTACCCCCACTTCTCAAGAAAGAACGGCTACTAATTCGTTGCTTGAAATTAATGAAACCTGATCAATTCCTCACATCACCAAGAAAAGTGAGTCAAAAGGTTACTAACTCTTGAGTGTTTATAACTATTTTCTTAATGAAATGATATGCTTCAAACTTCTATTGTTTATGCAAGTTAATGATTCCAAACGCAAACTGCCCTTTCCAAATACCTTGTAGTTTTTGCCTCAGCTATGTCTAATCCTTAAATATAGACAACAAAGAGATGTGAACAGTATGGTTATTTACCTTAGTAATATCTAGATATCCCCTTGGGATGACTCATTCGATTCCATTGTTGGTAAGCACATTGGTTTAATTTTTTATTTCCCCCTCCAGGACTTATTTGAGAGCATCTGAGGGCTCGGTATATCTTTGAATGCCTAACCTAAGATATGAATAATCTTTGTTTAGATAAGCCCAGGAAGAAACTAAAGAAAAATCATAAATCGAAGAAGTACTAGTTCCACTCTCCCATTGGCTCAAAGAGTAAAAGTAAGTTAGAACCGAATTTTGGAAATTTTGGTAGATTTATATGCCGAATTTGGAAGCTTAAAGGAGTAAAAGAGTTAACAAGTCTTGAGAATTAGTGCGCAGCATTGAGAAATCTATTTTTTAAATGCTCTTAGTAATTTTTCATGACTCAAAAAACTTTGAGAACAGTTTTACAATTTTGACTTGTAAGATTTCGGTATTTATGAACTTTAACATTATTAAATTTATCATCATTTAGTATTAAACTAATATGACTTTCATGTAGTTGGCCGGATTAAGAATAATAGAGGAGAGGATGAAAATATGTTAATTCCTGTTCACTCTCATACACAGATATAACCATCTCCCAGGTTGTGAATAGACTCCATAACAGTAAAAAGGTAAGCTGTTGGTTAAGTCATCATATCATCATTGGATATCTTACTAAAACATTTATTTATAAGAGTGAAAGAATTCGATATGTTTTAAAATAATTTTCAAAAGATCTTACAACAATAATTTTACATTTCCCCTCATAATCCTGCAAAACCCCTGATTTTTTAGCGAATCAAAACGAAAGATACACAAGATGGGTCAAAAGAAGATACCTCAGAAGTCCAAGAAGTTATCAAAATTCCTGAGCCTGAGAAGAAAATTGACCCAAGGATGGTGTTCCGTGAGCTATGCCACAAATCTTCCCAAAATTTCTCTAAAATTCAGAAAGATCTCGACAGCTTGGTTATCATCAACAGATTTCATGAAGCTAAATTTCCAGAAGCTAAGCCTAAATTTAAGAGTAATTTTTGTGTTAACTCTAGATATAAAACGTAAATAAATTTTCTCTCAATAAGATGTTGATGAAAAGCCAGACTCAGAAGAACTTCAAGAATAGCATCATTAAAAGTAATGATGAAAGACTGTCTAACCAGTATAACCCTGAATCGATTATCAGCAGAGAATCTACTCCTTCTGAGTTCCCTCTGGTTAAATAATGCAGTGAAATTCTTACTAGGAGGAGATAAGAGAACTCAGATAAAGTCATCATCAAGGAATATTTTCTCTCCTCTTTCTCTTGGAAGTCCCTTCAGTAAGCTCCTAATTTCAATTTTAGACAAAAACAGGGAGGTCAAATCGCCTAAACTAGAGCCCTTAAACACCATATGTACACCTCTAAGGGCATTAGATGTGATCCAAAGCCCTAAGAGGAAGAAAGAAAAGTTAAAACCTGTACTAAAATAAGTCTAAAATCTAGATTAACAAGAAGCAGCCAAAGACAGTTAAGAGTCATGATTTGGACGACCAGAACAAGGGTTGTACTAAGTTGAGAAAACCTCAGAAATTATCTCTATAAAAAGTATTTCAGTCAGGTAATTTCCGAATTCATGTTTGACTTCTCTAAAGAATTTATGACATAACTCTAGGAATTCTGAATTGACCCAGACAATAAAGGAGAGACAGAACTTATTCTCCCCATGTATCCAATCAGAAAGCAGGTTTATTTCTCCTTCTATGAACAAGAGGTATTCCTCATACTCACATTAATAGGGAAACTTCACCAGGTCTTACTTGGAAGGACTATATCAGCAAGATGATGGTTGAAACGATGATAAAGGATAACTTATATAAAGGGAAAAAGCACATATAAGTACATATGCAATGGGATCGCTAAACTAGAAAGATCTCGTGTTTTGATTTGGAGTATGAAAAATTCAAGACCTATTTCAACCATATTGAAAATATAAGGGGTTTTGGGGTTTTGGGGTTTTGGGGTTTTGGG